AAGAAAAGAAAAAATAAAAAAAAAAAAAAAAAAAAAAAAGAAAAAAGAGGGGGGGGGGGGGGGGGAGAGAGAGAAGTTTTGAATTTTAAAATTATACTATTTAAATTTGTGAATCATATTGAGGTCTCGTAAAACTCAATATTGTATAAGGATCGGTGTTTCTTGGTTGTATGTCATGGGAAGTGTTGTAAATGATTGGATTGCACCATAAGTCAGTCAATATAGTAAAAAGGTCTTGTTTGTGACGGAGAGCTTGATAATGGAGGACATAAATCATCGGTTGGAATCGAACCTCTACAATTATATCATTTGCACACTCTCTTCTTTTTTACTTATTGCCTTCATATTTGTGTATATTTGTTTGATTAACTTATTGGTTATTAAATTTGCTTAAATTTAGATTAATCTTCGAAAAAGCTTTTAATAACCAATTCACTCCCTCTTAGTTAGCTATTCTCTATTATATATTTTTAATTTAAAATAAGTAGTTCATTAATTTCTTACAATTCCTGATTAATCTTACATGTTTAATTTTATTATTTGATGGTTTGATCACCAATTGAGTATATGATTGCTTGTTGTAGTGTTATAACTTAAAATAAGTTTAGAACACTGTTTTATTAATGTACGTGCAATAAATGTTGGGAATAATATTTATCACATATGCAATCTTTGCAATAATCGTGAAATTGAATGTGTTCTATTAATTCGAATTCGAACTAGGAATGGATTTAAGTCATGAATATAATAGATTTAATTTGTCTTGGAAGAGAAAGTTAATTACCATAAATTTATTGATTGTCAAGAATGAATGAATAAAACTAGCTACAAAATTGAGAATTGAAATAGATAATAATAGGTGGTTCATAATCTAATACACCAATTCCATCTAAAAACAAAACTCGAATTTTACAAGTTTCCATAGATTAATTTAGAATAATTACAAACGACAAATCTTCGTAGGAGAAAAATTAAGGTGTGTGAGTTCTGTACAAGATGTTGGCTAATTGAGGATAATTTTTTAAGCTAAGGCGGCCCCTCTTATTCTACAATAATCCAAGCTGCAGCTCCATGAGTCTGCTAAGGAAACCTTTTCATACCTCATTTATCTCATGGGAGAGTGGTTATCTCCTACACACTGGAAGTCATACATGCTGTGTCGACAAAGAGTATGGAAATAGACAAGCTACTGGAAGTTTATTGATCAGGGGTGCAATGAGATACTCATGAGTGGATTTTTTTGTGTGGCTGATTTCAAGGACATAAATATCATGAAACGTGGAGGGAAATAGAGTGGTCGTAATGTCGTATCAACTGCTAGATTTGGTGAGGTCGTAATGTCGTATCAACTGCTAGATTTGGCCATCAATCTGCTCCTACTTGTACAGCGCCCAACTCCGAGGCGAAGGGGGTGTCATCTCGAGTGGCAATAGGATCTGAGGACTATTGGAAGCTGATCATACAAAATCTCACAAGTACACGGTATAGTGAACAAGTAATAAAATGATTAACAAGATATCATTCTCCTCTATTACTCTATTAAAATACAAGTAATAAAGTGATAGAATGATTAATAAGATAACGTTTCCCTTTATGTATTTAATCAAATGTCAATCAGTATTAACTTTAATTGAATAGTCAAATTTGTTTGAAGAATTTATACTAATTAACTAATTTAATAAACTATTCTAATGAGCAAATTATGAAAGTTTTTGTAAAATTACGTGAGATATAGAAGATTTAAATCTTTCATATCACTCCATTTTAATACAAATCAATATCATGAAAATATGTATTCTTGTTGATTAATATTCCTAAATTGTTTAATAATCTCTATCGAGTAGGATTAAATATATTTTTTAATGTGACCTCCCTATATCTCTACAAAAAGATGTGAACAAGAAAGCATGCATTAAAAATATTATAGTATTTATTGAAATCATATAAAGTATGGAGATATATCTCACAGTCCTCTATATAACCTCACAACAATTGTTATAATGTGCTACCTGTCTTATTCTCTCTATCTATACCAATAAAATTCACACATCAGTCCAATTATTGATCAAGTAATTGAAAATCATTAAACACAATAACAATCATCCAAGAAATAACAAGTATTGGGCGTCAAAAAATTGAATTTATTTTAAAACTTCATGACAAGAGTTCATCTATGACTTAATAACTGAATTCTATCCCTGCGTTGCAAAATTACAAGAAATCATATTGAATTTATAGAACATCACCCGAATTATTAATAAGCGAAGAAGAAGATAAATCTTATCTTCAATGGTTCCTTGATTAATCTTCAATTGCACCTTCTCTTCTTTGTCCAAAAATCAAGATTGGATATTCAAAGAATTGAAATCTTGTAATTGCCTCTTATTTTTCCCAAGAGAATGATGTTTTTCCTCTCTTTTGTTGTAATAATTTATGAAGAGGTGTCTCCAGATGTATGATGCTATTCTCTATTTATATTTCTCGAAAATTAGATCAAGAAATCGTCTAAATTCATACCATGTGGAGTTTCAATTGAAAAAGGAAACTAAATCCGAAAATAACCATGCACGCGCGAATTGGAACGACTCGCGCGCAAATTGCGTCGCTTGTGGATTTAACTCTTGGGTTTTGTGAATTTGGCGCTAACTCTCTTGCACGCGCAACTGAATTCTATATTTTGGACAATTACAAATTGGTCACTAAACTTTTCAGTGACATATCTAGATCATTTCTTAATGCAACTTGCGTCATTTATCTTTTCATTTGCATCCAATTGAACCCCGAGTAATCTTAAATAAGTGTTTTGTGGTCCGAATCAACTATAAAGAAACTTACAATTAAGTCCATGAACTTTAAAAATCCTCATTTTTCATCAATTTTTTGCTCATTTCTTCCAATTTCACTTCCTACTATTGAATTTGACCTAAAAATGAAATATTTAAGAAATTAGGCCATAATTAATCATAAGACTCCTAAATATCTATATTTACAATTCCACATATCAGAATACTCCAAGTGCCTATTTCTAAAATGAACATCGATGCAAGGTTGAGAACTGACTTGAGGATGGTGTTGTGCCTGCATTCTCAAAACATGTTCATGCCGACTTTTCCCTGTCTAATGCTGAAGCTCGTGCGCTTCGAGAGGCACTATTCTGGGCAAAAAAACATGTCTTTTCAATTAACTGAAGTGGAGAGTGATACTTTGGTTGTGGTACAACAATTGACATTGGTGAGAATGTCTTTGAATGCTAAATTTTTTTTCTTAGATATTGCAACTATTCTTCATGTTGGACATAATTCCTATCGCTTCATTCCTCAAATGGGAATAAAGTGGTGTAGAACCTAGCTAGTTAACTTACTTTTTCTCCACCTATTTATAGTTGGGTCGATTGTATTCCTCATCTTTGGACATAATTTGTGTGCCATGATTATTCAATCCAATGAATTCATTTAGCTTCTCATCTGAACCAAAAAAAAAAATAAAATGAAAAAAGCTAATTGGCCAACATTGAACATCGAGACGTCATAATGACAATAGGTAGGGAAGAGTACACGATAAAATTTATAAGAAACTTAGCCTCTATTAGCTAAATAAAGTAATAAAAATCTAAATCAAAATAAATAATTAATTTCAATCAAATATTTCATTAATTCCATTTCTATATTCTTGAGGACAAAATCTACTAAAAATTTATTTCTTAACAAAACCAAAATAAGGGATTAATTGAACAAACAATAAAGACAAAATCCAAAAACTCCTTTTATTATTATGCCCATTCGTATATCCTCAAAGACGGTGTAATAAAATTCCCTTTGGCAAGTTTTTTTCCCATATATTATTTTTTTTCCTTTATTCATTTATAAAGTTTAATATAAAATGTAAATATTGTGACCGCCTTAAAAAAGTCATTTTCATTCTCGTCTTTCCCCTTCGACGTCTATTAGACAGGTCTTCCCCCATTCAGATGCAGATTAACACACACTGCGCACACATTATTACACCATCTTCTTCTTCTTTGGCCGGAAATAAGTTTTCATCTCGATAAGGTTTTTGAGGTGGGTTTTCTTTAATTATCTCTTGCATACTGAAAAAGCCCCCTCTGTCTGTATTTTTTCTCCTTTTTTTGTTGTTTTTTTATTGAGGGCTCATTTGCTTTGCTCATGCCAGCCCTGAATACTAATGTGGTTTGGGTTTTAGCTAAACTAGATTCTTCTTTGTTTTTGGGATTGAAATTGTTTTTCAATTGTGTATTTTCAGTCTGTTATTGATTTACAGAGTATATTCTATATTTATTTTTCAATTGATTCTTTGAAATATTTGATTTGAATGTGTGTTAGAGTGTTGCAATAACATTTGCAGATGTACTGTTCGATGATACGCAGGTGAGTGAAATAACAAAAAATGGGAAATGAACCGGGTCCTCCATGGTTGAAGCCAATGCTGAAAAGTAATTATTTCTTTCCCTGTCCGTCTCATTCGGATTCAAATAAAAGTGAATGCAATATGTATTGCTTGGATTGCTTGGGAAGTGCATTTTGCTCTTACTGTTTGATCCATCACCAGGGCCATAGCCTTGTTCAGGTGACACTTTTTGCATCGAATACTTGCTTATTCTTGAGCTTCGTTATAATAGAATTGTAATATTGATTGGATTGTTCATGAAATTGTAGATAAGGAGATCTTCATATCATAATGTGGTAAGGATTAATGAAATTCAGAAGTACATAGACATTTCTTGCATACAACCGTATGTTATAAATGGTGCCAAGATTTTTTTCTTGAATGAGCGGCCGCAGACAAAACCCGGAAAGGGAGTAACATACACTTGTGAAATTTGTGAACGTAGCCTTCCCGACTCCTTCCGGTTCTGTTCCCTTGGTTGCAAGGTAAATTGTTAAATTCATAGTTGGGATGAATTCTTTTTGGATTTAAGATACTTGCTTTTGCCAGGGATTTTTGCAGATGACGAGGTGGCGAAATTGGATTGACTGGTTTTAAGTTTTTTTTTTTGTTCAATTGTCAATGAAATTATGTCAAGTATAGATCTGTCAAACTGTGTGAAAATCCATGGCAATGTAGCATAACTCAAATTCATTTTTGCCCCTCAGTTAGTCTAACCGGTCTCGATTATGTGACATGACAGTTGAATGGCATTAAGAGGGGCGACCCAGAGCTCAAATTTTCACACAAGAGAGGAGCTTTCGATGGGATGGATTCAGATTATGAACCATCAACTCCAAAGAAGACTGCGTATTCCTCTGGTTTTGGCTGCGGCTGTGGCCCCCGCTCCAGCTCGATTTCCATTAGTTCGGGAGACGATAATATGAAAAGTATGTCCCCTGAAATGCCGCCGCCTTTGTTCTATCGCCATAGAAGGAAAGGCATTCCTCATCGTGCCCCTTTCTGATATCCCAAATCATCATCGAAGTACACAGTAAAAATGGTATAATTGATACTTGTGGCTGCATAATCTGGTAAATGACTATATATTAATATATGATAGTGTGAGTGCATTTTCTAGATAAAAAATGTATAGAATGATAAATATATAGTTGGGTTTCTAGCTTCTACTTTCTTGTGTACATATAGACACACGCCTTGTATTGAGCTTATACTTAAAGATAAAATTAAGCAAAGGTTTGTCACAACCTTTTGTGTTTCTAAATTCTATTTTAACAATCTTGTATTGGATGTTTGTGTCAACGAGTTGGATCTTGAGTAACGTTGCTTAGCAACACCCATTTATGCGTTAGTGGAATCCGCGAGCTACTATTAGTGATCATAAAAACCAAAAATTGATCATCAATTGTGGAGCGTGGGCTCCACTACACTTGCCTATCGTTGATGAATAGCATTTCTTGAAAATCTGCATGCTAAAAAGTTGGTGATAGGACTGAAATCGAACAATGACAAACCTCAAACAACAAGCTGTCACGTAAAATGACTAATGCAATAAATAACATTATTCAATAGGTAACAAAAATTTACCGTCTTAATTGACAAAATGTCACATGACAGTATGTTATTGATCAATTTTAAAGAAAAAATAGTTTTTTCATGACCATTCACTGACATTAATGCGTCTGTCATCCAAGGTGGTAAATTCATGTAGCCAAAAAGCATTACTCGATGCTGAAATCATCCAAATTAGGTCAAAATGGCTGTCAATTCGCTAGTAGGGACGGTGATTACAAGTGGGCTAGAATTTTTGTAGCACACCATTAGGACATTGATGTTTTAAGGGCTATTTAATTAATCTATCTTTGTACGCAAATGGGTGGTGTAAAATGGTGGAGAAGCTTGGGGGACACGTTGACACCCAACGAAGTGAATTGAAATTTTTCTTCCTCCACTATTTCCAGTTGTTATAATTATCTTCATTTCATTCATTATTATCCATGAAAATTTTAAAATTAAATAAAATAAAGAATAATAATTATAAAAAATAAAGAATATGAGAGTGGGTGTCTAAACTATTCTAAGCAAGTGGACTAAAGAGCCGTGCGGAATCTGGAAATGCTGCGTGACTTTGCTAGCTTTCGTTGCTTTTTCTCTTTTCTTTTTTTCTCCTCCGTCCACGTCATGCCCATTAACTATAAAAACCCAAAAATCTGACGTAATCAACTAAAATTGTATAATTTTAGACTGTAATTGATGAATTATTTGATAAAAAATATTGCGATCGATGTTCAAAACTTGATCGTGATTCAGTAATTTTAAAGCAACTTAATGTACACAGTCTGTTAAAACGTTATATACTTTCGTAACTTTAAAAAGGGTACGAAACTAGAATAAATTATGAACCTCGAAGTACGCATTCGATATTTAAAAAGGTTGATTCAAAAAGAAGTTTGCTATCTTTATTTTTAAATAGGATAACAAATCCAAATTAAAAAAAAAAAAAAAAAAAAAATAAAAAAAAAAAAAAAAAAAAAAAAAAAAAAAAAAAGACAAACAAACAAATTATTCCTCGTGTTTATCCTATACTGATATTAATCACAACAATCACATATATAGAAAACGACGGAACACCTTTATTCAAAATAGACAAGAATATTGAAAGAACGTTACTATTGAAACTTCTTGAATGTTTTCCCAATATGAGAATGAAATTCATGGATGCATTCAATTCTGATTATATTTATCGAGGATTTAAAGTAAATTGTACAAAAATTCGTAATTCTACCAATTAGACTAATTTCAGTACTAATTTACTAATAGTATTTTACATGATATTAATTTGTGACATGTCGACCGTGGTCTAGAAATAAAGATACATACATTTACAGTATGTCTTATTTCAATTATTAATTTTTGTTTCTTTAATTTCATCATTTCTTCATATGAGATTCGAATTCTGATCGTTGAACAAATAAGGTTTCGCTCTTACTATTTAAGCTCCCATTTGATAGCAATTTTTCACCTCAAAAAATTAATTTTTTTATTATTATTTTACTATTCCAACCGTCATTTTTTATAACTAGGGACATATTCGGTAGTAATTATGAGAATTATTTTTTGATCATTAGAGAGAAAAGTGGGTAGCGGCTGACCAAGCACAACTGAGTCTGTGTCCGTGTAGTGGCAGTCCACATGTGAGTGAAGAAGCTAAAAATGACGACTGAAATAATGAAATAGTGGTCAAGAAATGATAAATGAAATAATGTAACTTTAGACTGTAATTGATGAATTATTTGATAAAAAAATATTGCGATTAGGTTTTTGTCAACGTTCAAAATTTGATCGTGATTCAGTAATTTTAAAGCAACTTTATGTGCACGATCTGTTAAAATGTTAATATACTTTCGTAACTTTGAAAAGGGAATGAAACTATAACTAATTATGAACCTCAAAGTACTTATTCGATATTTAAAAACGTTGATTTAAAAATATGTTTACTATCTTTATTTCTAAATAAGATAACAAACCCAAATTTAAAAAAAAAAAAACAAAAACAAAAACAAACAAACAAATTATTCCTCGTGTTTATCCTATACCGATATTAATCACAACAATCACATATAGAAAATGACGGAATATCTTTATCATAAATAGACAAGAATAAAGTAAATTGTACGAAAATTCGTAATTCTACCAATTAGACTAATTTCAGTACTAATTTACTAATAGTATTTTACATGATATTAATTTGTGACATGTCGACCGTGGTCTAAAAATAAAGATACATACTGTAATATTTCAATTATTATTTTTTGTTTCTTTAATTTCATCATTTCTTCTTATGAGATTCGAATTATGATCATTGAACAAATAAAGTTTCGCTCTTACTATTTAAGCCCACATTTGGGGCCTGTTTGGTAGTCATTTTTTTCAAAATGCATTTTTCTTTCTTTTCTTTTCAAACACACATTCTTTATTAAAATAATATTACACGTAAATCAAAAAAATTTCCTTATTTTTCAACCACACATTTCACATCAATTTACTATTCTAAAATGCATTTTTACACAAAAATACCTATCAAACACCCCCTTGATAGCAAATTTTCATCCAAAAAAAATCAATTTTTTATCGTCATTTTACTATTCTAGCCGTCATTTTTGACAACTAGGGACATGTTCAGTAGTGATTATGAGAATTGATTTTTTGACCATCAGAGAGAAAAATGAATTTTATCTGTGAGTGAAAAAGTCAAAAATGATGATCGAAATAATGAAATAATCGTTGCTGGATATTAATCTCATGTTTAATTTCAGTATAGAATGGATTATGGACTCGCAGACAGAGAAAAACTTCACTTATTAAAAGTCAAATTTGGCAAACAAAGCAAGGGCTCGTTGCCATTTTTGACCTTTGAACATTGTACATGACAAATGGTAGGCCGATGGAACCAACCAGCGCACACATTTGTGACGCGTTTGTTCAGATTGAGTTTGGATTACTTCAAAATAGAATACAATTTGGGGTGTCTGTCTAAAGGGTTGCCACGATAGCTTGGGACCCTCTTTTCTTTGACACGTTCCTACTTTCTACTCTTAGTCCACCTATGTGTCTCGTGGGACATGCCACATGCATAAGATAATAATATATTAGATTTAAATAAGTTCATGTTTGTTTCCTATTTTTTTCTCATTAAAATGAAAAATGTAACTGTTATCCATCACAACAAACCACCAAATTTGAATTTATATCTCTTGTATGGGATCCATAACGACTATATTTTTCATTCTTATTTTTACGAGAATGGGAAACAAACGCTCCCTAAATCTTCAACCAACTACAGAGTAGTGATTTTATTTGACAACCTGTTATTTGAGATAATAAAATTATAGAAAAATTGACCTCTCAAATAACGAGTTGCTATATAGGATGACTACGACAGTAACTTATTATGAATATCATTATTCATAAAGATTTCGTGCAAACAGAGAAAAGTAATAATTGAATACTTCAGTTGGTTCTGATTGTTAGAACTCAACTTTTTGAAGATGGGTCTTGAACTTTTTATTTTTGACACTTCAGGTCCCTAATCAGAAATGTAAGTAACTATCATCTTTTTTCTGGAAAAAAATTATTTATACGACTATAAAGTCAATTTTTTTGTTAAAGGAACGATACACCTTTAGATTTAATAAAGAAAAAGGGAACTTCACTTTCTTCCCTCGACCATTGCTACCATCGCACCAAAGCAACCCATCACCTCTGCACTGGCCATTGTTTTTGGTACTTCATCAATAATTGTACACAACAATTAAAACCAAAATCACAACTATTATCGACAACGATTGTGACAACGACAATCAACATAACGATCGAGATCAAAATCACAAACATGCCAGTGCCGCACCCATAAAAAGGTTCATATGTCCCTACTAGTAGCAATTGTTCCTTACCCAACCCCATGAACCCTTGCACAACTTAGAACTACCATCCTGAGCTCCACCGTAGGAGAAATATCCAAATTGACAACTCCTTTAAACAACCTAACATTCAACTTAGATCTAAGTCTATTTTCCAAGGAAGTTGATTATAGTTACAAATCAGGTTCAAAAAGGTAAGCCTTTATAATCCAATATATCACTATTATACTTCTTTTCTTTCTTTTTCCTTTTTCTTTTTTCTCCTAATGTCACAATCTAAACCCCACAAGAGGCTAGTGAAGGAAAAACCAATTAATGCATAGTGGAAGACTTCTTAAACATTACTATTATATTCCCTGAAATTTGTATTTATTGTGTTTAGGGCCCAACCAAGGATTAAATCTCATAAAATTCACTTTTCTTAATACAAGACCCGTTACAATATTATGAAGACTTCAAATTATGGTTTCTTAAATTTGTTTTCATCGGTTTCCATACAGCCCCCTTTAACTCTTAAAAATTTGCCAAAGTTTTGAAAATAATAATTTCTAGATATTACTATTTGCATACAAATAATCTTCTCCAAGCTAATGGGAAAGTATCAACATTTTGAATTTAGGTCCCTAATAAACTGAAAAAGTTGCTAATAGACCCAAAAATTTCTTAAAACTCATATATATGACACATATTCTATAAAATTTCGGGTTATTACAACTTTCCCTCCTCAAATATAGATTTCATTTTGAAAATTTGAAATTGTACACTTGCTTTCATTGTGCCACTATGATATCTTTCTTAATATCTCTTTTCATCGATTCATCACATCTAGTACAAGTCT